CTCTTTACTGAAATTGGTGGAAATATCTTCAGACTCTCTGTCTGTAGCCAATATACTTGTTTTCGCAGTGTTTTCTTCCAGATCCTTGTCACGAGTACAATCTTTACTCATTCCTTCCTTAGATTTTTTAGTAGAACACTTGGTATCAGTTCCGTCTTCTGTTGAAGCTTTTTCTAATTTTTCTGTGACTCTATTTTTAGTAGAAGTGTCTTTTTGTAGATCTGGACTACTGTCACATTCAATTGTTTGATGACTTCTCTTACATTTATTACTTTCCTTTTTTACATGTTCATAAATATTATTTATCTCTGAACTGTCATCATTTTCTTGGAGAGAAATTACTCTTGTTCTCTCTAAATTTGTTTCCATTGTCCTTATTTCATCACTCGCCCCATCTATTCGATTTCTACTTTTTGATCTGCCTCTTCTTGGATCCCTAATATAAGATTCATGATTTTTTAAAGAAAAATGAGATTTTTCATTATGATTTCGACTATTATATTTATCAATGCTCTTCCTATATTCACTCTCTCCACTGAAACTTTTTCTTCTGGAATAGATATTCATTCGATTATCAGTTCTAAATCTGAGTTCTGAATGTTTTCCATACTCGTGTCTGTATGTTTCTCTCCGTTCTTCCAAATTATTATGTTCGTGTCTGTATGTTTCTCTACGTTCTTCCAAATTATTATGCTCATGTCTGTATGTTTTTCTCCGTTCTTCCAAGTTATTATGCTCATGTCTGTATGTTTCTCTCCGTTCTTCCAAGTTATCTCTTCTCATGTGACGCCCTCTTGACCCTGAACGGGCTCTGTGTTCTCTTTCTTCTGATTTTCGTTCTATAAAACTTCTTGGAACCGATTTTGGTCTACTTTTTTGGTATCTTTCCTTTGTTCTGTTAGCGTCCCTGTGTCTTCCTTCATATGAACTCTTGTGATCCTCGTTTGACACCAAAACTATATTTCTTTGGGATTCGGAATCATCACATTTTTGTATTGATGAATCAGTTTCCACCGATTGTTTTTCCTTTTTTGGTATTTTGTACTGAGGATTCAGTTTGGCTACCTTTGGAGAAGCAGACAATTCTCGCTTTCGTTTACAACTAGAATTTGTTTCCTCATTTTCTTCCAAAGCTTTTTTTATGTCAACATCAGGAAGATCTAGTTCTTTTTCCCTAGCATTTGCAAGAATCTTCTGTTTTTCATTTAAAGTACTTTTTATAATAGTTTCATCATTAATTTCTGTTATTTCTTTCTTAAGTTCCATGCTCCCAAAATTATCTGAAAGGTTTTCTGAAGATTTATTTTTTTCTACATGTTCTTCTTCGACAGATTGAGAATTTTGATTTTCAATTTTTTTATCTCTTGAAATATTTTGTTGAGGATTTTTTCTGTTATCATTGCGCATATTTTTCTCCTGTACTTTGAATTCACTCTTTTCAATCTGTGTGTGAATTTCTATATGTGATTTTACCTCATGTGAAAATACATCATTATTTATTGACAGATTATTTACTTGCTCATCATTTGTTGCAGAGTTCTTTTGTTGTGAATCTGTTATAGATTCTTCACAACTAAAACTATTCTCAATAATTGTTTCAGTAAAAGAAGTTGCATCATTTAAAATGTTTAATTTACATACCTTTCTCTCAATCTTATTAGTGTCACTCATGATGGATTTAGATTCTTCGATATGACACAATTTTATTTCTGTGTTGATGTTTTTCTCAGAAGAAGATTCAAGAGGTTTATCAGTAATTTTATTTTGATTGTCTTTATTTTCTTTCATTTCTTTTATATCTGAGATTTCTTTCTGTGATTCAACAACTGCCTCTGATTCTTCTTTTGCAAATCGTAGATTGATATCTTTCAAGTTGTGGGAAGTACTTCTATTTTCCCCTTTCTCTTCTTTGTCGTCTTTTCTGTAAGAAATGGAATGTGAAGAAATGGATTCATTATACATTTCTTCTGAACTCGCTTCTTGTTCTTTCTTGGTAACAGTTATTAGCCTTGTATCGTTTATATCGATCAATACACTATCCATGATATGGTTCATATTTTCAGCAAAAAAGTTTCCCGGTTTCTTTTGAATCGACTTCGTTTTACTATGTGACATATTTTCAATAGAAGCTTTTTTCTCCCACATTTTCTGTTCCAGTTTCTGAACAGCTTTCAATTTTTTTCGCACTGGTTTTCTATTCTCTTCATTTGAATTTTTCAACTTCTTCCTTTCAAAATCTATTTCTTTTATGATTTCCACACATGGAATTCTAGAACATTCGTTTTGAACGTTGTGTTCTTCATCACTGGTGTGAGTTTCTTTTTCCACTATCTCATTCCTTTTCCTGGAAAAGTAATAATTAATAAAAATTTATGAATTTTTGTCTAAAAAAATGAATTATTTTAACAATAATGTAATGAAATGATAAATCATGAATGACCTGAATATTTTATATGAACGTGTGAAAAATGCAATACAAAATATTACAGCCACTCAAACTAAAATACTGGGTACCTACGTATGTGTACCATTTTACATCTTTTTAAAAAAATCATGCAAAATAATGAAGGAAAATAATCAAGTTTTTGGTTTCATGATTGTTTCATTTGTTAGATATCAATTTGATTAATTCGGAATTAAAATGATTAAAACTGAGATATGAGGTTTGGAATTTTGGTCCTTCAAGAACGAAGGAATACACGATAACAAGAAATCGCTGTTCAAACATCAGAACGAGTTGGAGCTGGTATGGTATCAACAAAAGTCTTTCAGATAATTTCATTTAGGCGATTTAGGATTTGCTGCAAGAGATGTTATAAACGTGGGTAATTCAATGCTTTTGGGAATTCTCTACCAAATAAAACAAATTGAAGTTAACCTTTTAATAGTTACTTATGGTTTGACAGGTTTGGTGCATATTTTTTCTCTGTAAAATTTATGTAAGGAGGTACTTATTCAAGTAAACTTGTTTTTGGCTCAAATACTCATTACAATTCATTCAAGATATGGGTTTTTGATAGAAAAAAAAAGAAAACAGGAATTTCATTAGAGAAGGATAGAGATGACTTTTCTGAAAACATGTATATAGTTAGTTCAGAAGAAAAACAAAAAAACAAAAGTATGCAGCATATAGCTATTTGAAAAACCTGCCCTGAAAGTGATCAACAAATCTAACCAGACTTCAGAAATGCTTTTATTAGTTTTGTTTAGGAATCAATAATAGAGAAAATTGGGTTTTTTATAATCTACTAGTACTATGTTGGTATATGGCTGCTATTCCAATGTTTGGACAGAATCAGAATCAACGAACTTAGGCGTGCGCAGCGTTATAAAACAGTGCTTTCAAAATATTGTTCTACAGCGCCATCTCGTGACGAGTTACAGAAAAATTGATAGCCTAAAAACCTTCTCTATGAAAAATTACTTATACATGTCAAGTTTCATCACGATCGGTTGAGCGATGTAGAAATTCATCACTTACCAACCAACAAACATCCATTTTTATATATTAGACAGAAAAATTGATAGCCTAAAAACCTTCTCTATGAAAAATTACTTATACATGTCAATTTTCATCATTATCGGTTGGGCGATGTAGAAGTTTATCACTTACCAACCAACCAACAAACATCCATTTTTATATATTAGATTTTTTTTTTGTATTTAACAGATAAAGTTCCAGTAAATGAATGAACAATCATTTTGATTTTTAGCATTCACCTATATTGCTATTTGAAAATCCTACCCTGAAAATTATCGACAAATCTAACCAGACTTCAAAACTGCTTTTATTAGTTTTGTTTAGGAATCAGTAATGAAGAAAATTTGGTTTTTTATAATCAGTAACGAAGAAAATTTGGTTTTTTATAATCTAAATATTTTTTGTATTTAACAGATAAAGTTCCAGTATATGAAATAACAATTATTTTGATTTTTTGTATTCAACTATATTAAGAATGAGCATTCTCAACTTATATTGTACTGGTAGGCTTACAACGACACATCGTAGAAATTCAAATGAATAAATTATCCACCGCTGGCCTGAAAGAATAGTGCGACCATCGGTGAAATAAAATTTGGGTTGACTTATAGACAATATCATCCCTGAAAAATCAAATTATCAGAAACGTCTTATAATCCAGAAGAAAAATACAAGAAAAGAAAAAAAAATAAAGCAGGAGATTGAAAATAAAATCAAGATGTTTCACTTGAACAAACTAAATTATTTTAAGCAGCTAAATTCAACAGTAAAAAAGTTCATCATCATGAGTTTCCAGTAAGTATTCCAAATCTAAGTTATATTAATAAACATACCTCAATTGCTGAAAAATGTGACTGAAATGTTGGACACAAGCTGTGAGTCAACCTTGAATGATATTGATTTGCTTTGCCAAACAATTCCCTATAACATTTTCTGGTGAAGACAAAGATTGACACTTTTTTTGATATATTTGTAAGAATTTTTATCAAACGTGTTTCGACCTTTAGAGGTACACGCTCTCCTGATTGTGCACAATTTGTGAAAAATTTGAATGGAACCATACTTTAAACTTGTACAACAAATTCTTTTTTGACATTAGATCCCAATGTCCTTGTTATAACAGAGGCTTTTCAGAAAGTAATGAAAAAAATTAGATTACGGTAAAACTTGTACACAATTTGATGAGGTTCATGAAATCTCGCAGTGAAAAAAAAGTTGAGGCAAGAAAACACCAAATCCAATGGAATTTAAAGATTTTAGGGAAATGAGTATTCTGCCTGTATTGTCAAAAATATTGGAGAGAGCCAAGGAGTTTCAAATTAAAAACCATCTTTTGAACTTCAGTCTGTTGCCTTCTGTTCAATCAGAATTTCAGAAAAGGCATAGCTGTACAACCGCTCTTCTACATTTTACGTATGACGTAATGAAAGCAATAGATAATATAATATGTTATTTATTTAAGATCCAATTATAAATATAAATGAAGAAGTACAAATTGAAAGTTCAAATAAATAACGAGATGCTCGATAAGTAAGTGAATACTTGTAGATGAAATCAAATGTACGGTGTTAGTCCTAGTAGATTTCAGCCGAACGTTTGATACTCAAATATCACAGCTTTCCGGCAAAAATGGCAGACAATGCTTGTGAAATTGTTAATGCAATTTTAGATAAAATTGTTGAACTGGCAACAGACCACTGTTTATTTAAGAACCCTAGTAAATCGAATGTAATGGTCTTTGGTCCAAGATTTCACCGGTCTATAGTGATTAACTCTGCGAATATCTGCATTCAAAATGAACTACTAGATATTGTTTGTGAAGTAAACAATTTTGGTGTTTTGATGGATGTAGATCTGAGATTATAAAAATGTATAAATAAACTCTTACAACGTGCCTACTCTGCATTGAAAATCAACGCATGACGCATACCGCGAAAACTCCGGATGGGTCCCGAAATCCGCAGAGGGATCCGGAACGTTCGTTGACGATATAAAAACGTTCGACAAGCCACGGATGGCGTGCGTTGAATGCGGCGAAAAATTTTGCGTACCTTTGTGTGCGGCGAACACGTGCGAAAACGTCCACACTCGCATAAATTTGTATGTTGCATAAAAATTTGTGCCGAATGCCCCGCACAACGTAAATTTTTACTAATGTGGACCCGGCTTTACGCTAGTTGCACACACACCGATTTTGGACGGCCGACTTTGTACTGGTCGTCCAAATTCCAATAGTGAACCACATGTCGTGGGAACGGGACCTTGCACACATGCCTACCGGTATTCGTCGCCGGTAAAATACCGGTGAGCAGCCGTCCACTGCCACTGTATCGAAGGCAGTACCGGAAAGTAGTGGCGTACGTGACTAAATACACTCTTGCATACTCACCGGTTTTTTACCGACCATTCCAGTCGCGAATGCTCGGTGAAATTGTAGTTACTACGCATTAACTTCGTTCTGGTAGTGCGTGCTAATTACGACAACAAAGCAACCGATTGTTTGACCGATAAGAATCCGGTGAGTGTGCAAGTTACCAATATAATATCGGCCGATTTTATACTGGCCGTCCAAAATCGGTGTGTGTGCAACTAGCGATACAGTGGCAGTGGACGGCTGCTCACCGGTATTTTCCCGGCGACGATCACCGGTCGGCGTGTGTGCCAGGTCCCGTTCCCACATGTGGTTCACTATTGGAATTTGGACGACCGGTACAAAGTCGACAGTCCAAAATCGGTGTGTGTGCAGCTAGCGTTACTTTCAACACCCACGTCATAAATAGGAATTTCGCTTGGCCTATTCAAATATATGAAAAGGTGATTTCACTTCTTTTTTTTCTTTGTCTTCCAAAGCAGGATGTTAACGACGAAATATGAAAAAAATATGTTTTTTTTTCAGCGTTGTGAAGGATAAATACGGCTGCGTCAATAAAATTAGCAATTTCGACAAAGACCTAATGCTCCTCGTAATTTTTGGCCTGAGAGGCTTCAAACATGAATTGGAGAGTCAAATCGCCCTCAAGTGTGCCACTGAATGCAGAGAAAAAATAGCAGCGATGGACCATGTTCACGGAATTGCTGCAGGAGTGACAACAGGTGTAAATAAATGTTTCAAAAAATAAACGTTCAAAAAATATCGAAAGGTAATAATGTTCAATTTGAGTAGCAGGTGAAGACCAGAAGAGTCGCTAGCAAAGTAATAAATCCATAACTAGTAACTTTTTTCTCTTCACAATATAAGTTTCGATTCAATGTTTATATGAAAGTAGCTGTTTCAGGAGGACTTTCTTTCAGTTTGTGTCTGAAAGTTACTCCTTTGCATGATCTACACATCCATGTATAGAGTTACTTATTTTCAAATTGATTACTTCCTTTCTTTGGAAGATTCCCTCATCCTTTTTTTGTATCAAGATGGATTAGTAGAAAGCCAAAAACTTTCTCTCCCAAAAAGTTTAGATTAGTTTGAATGAGAACAAGTGAGGAACTTACTTTAACCTCCGTCGGGCAGATACAAGCTACATGACAAGGTACATCATATACTGGACGACCTGCTCCACATCCTAATTGCAGAAAGTGTATGTAACCTGAAAGATTAAATTGGGAGGAACAACGGTTTAAGATGAAGTTCAAAGAAGCTGCATACCTAATATTCAACGAGGCATTCAGCCAAGCTAGCGTAATGATACGCAACATATGGAAACCTTAAATCAACTGGTAACACGGTCGGAAAATATCAATGGTCATTTTCCTAAACAATATACGGCTGATTTATCCCAAAGTTTGGATAAAATAAATATAGTTTGAAAAGATTAAAAAACACGCTTTTATAGCATACAAAACTGAAAAATTAAAAATAAATATAGTTTAAAAAACTAAAACGCACGCTTTTGAAGAACATCGAACTAAATGAAATATTTCTTAAAAATAAGCTTAAAACAATAACGAACAAAAAATACTAGTATTATTGTGAAAAAAGTGTGAGCGCTGTGTGGCATATTTTTTGTATATCATGCACGGAGTCAACAACAGAAGCCAACCGCACATTTGTATGCGAGCTAAGGACTAACGAGGTCTTGCCTTTTAACGTGTGATTCCTAACACGGTTGCAGAATCATCCCAGCTTCAACCAGATAAATTCTCTCGAGAAAAATATCTGGTCGAGGCAGGAATCGAACCCACGGTTTTTCGATCGTGAGTCGGGCGCACTACCACCGCGGCCAATTCCACAATTGTTAATTGAGAAAGAATGAAGGGGTAATTTCCGTACGCCACTTCAAGAGACAGATTAAGGCAGAAACGTCATTTCGGAGAATTCAGTGCCTACTATTTTCGAATTGGTGATTTTCTTATCTTTCTCGTATTTAAGTAAAATTCAGGATTAATTTATTTTTGAAAAGGTAGGGTTTTGATTTTCTACTTTTCCAACTCTTTACAGAAAAATCTGCACTTGGGTCGAATTTTTATGGAAACCTTTATCGAAAAAATGCTGCTTGGCTTTCTACTCCTTTATCATTGAACAAAAAATGTAGGAAACCCCCAAAGGAGATAGAAAGGAAGTGATGAATCTTCACACAAAGATATGTGGATCAAGCTCAGACATTTCTCTCGAAGAAAAAACCGTTTCGAAACAATAGGCAGTTGTGGATCATGTTTAAGGGTTTCTTTCAGATATATTTACTGTTTTCCTTTCCAGTTTGTACTGAATTGAATAGGAAAATAGCGATGTTCGTGTAATTGATGTTCATATGAAAGTAGTTGTTAAGAAAATTATTTTCTTTCATTTAGTATCTGTAACAAAGTGCTAAACATCATTCACATATCTTTATAGTTTTTATCGTTATCGTTCGTTCTTCTTCTCTTCCATATAATATAATTTTCCATATTTCTTCTTCTTGTCTTACAAGAAAGAGGTTTTTTCTTCTTGTTGGCAGATTACTCGTGTCTAGCCTATTTCCAAAAACGTAAAGAATAATTTTTCAAAAAACTATTGACCAGTTGCTTTGCTATCAGTGATATCAAAAATCATAGAGAAAGCCGTAAACCACCATATCCATGAATATTTGGAAGGCTTCAAAATCTTGAGCGATCATCAATGTGGCTTTCGAAAACAAAGATCAACAGGCGACCTTCTATCGTATGCCACCCATATTTGGAATAACACAATCGAGAAACATGGAGAGTCAAGAGTTGTTGCACTTCATATTTCTAGGGCCTTTGACCGTGTGTGGCATGGATGGACAAACTTCAATGCTATGGCTTGTCGAATCATTTTAGTGTATGGCTCTCCAGCTGCAGGAAAGTTTCCTGCAAGTGGTCGTCGATGACTATCTCTCAAATACTTTCATCATCAACGCTGGTGATCCCCAGGGATCCATATTGAGCACACTTGAGTCATCATTCCATAACATCGGCTACGGAGATACATCTTCACCGGCAGCAGGATGTTGCATATCTTAATGAGGATCTAGAGGTGATTTAGAATTGGGGTAAAAGTAACCAGATTCAATTAAATGCCACGAAAACCCAGGAATCGGTTTTCTCCAAATGATAACTGTCTCCGCACCGGATATAATAATGTCAGATTAGACAATTCCGTTTTCTGCTTCAATAAGTAAGTTGGGGGCCATAGAAAGACTTGTTAAAAAAAGGATGCTGCAGTTTTTGCAAGACCAAAACATCTTGAATAAGACCCAGTTTAGATTCCAGGCCGGAAAAAACACAAATGATGCCATTTTCCACTTTTTGGAAAAGGTATATCTAAGGATGAATGAGGGCGCAGCATTTGTGGCAGAGTGTTCTAGCGATTTGTCGAAAGCCTTTGACTGCGTCAATCACGGAGTACTGTTTCAAAAGCTTCAGTGTTATGGATTTAGAGATACAAGCTACAATTGGTTCGTGTCATACCTCTCTGACAGAAAGCAACTTGTGAGAATGAAAGAGAACAACTCCAACTCCAAATTACGAAATATCTTGAGTGGCATTCAACAAGGTTCAGTCCTTGGGCCGATAGTATTCCTATTTGATATAAATGACTTAGCCAGTATTAATATACAGGGCCAGGGAAGATGATTTGAAGAAGGTAAAACACAGGTGCGACTGAAGCCATATCTGCTTCAATGCAAAAAAATTAGCCTTCCAACCTTCAAATATATTAAATAACCACTTATTTCTGACGCTACAACCATTGAAAACAAACTCTGTACCAAATTCCTTGGCATTGAAATTGATAGTAACCTAAAATTTCATATCCACATCCAAAGTCTCAAATGGAAACTGCATCAGGCTGAATTTCACTAGTTCGGACTTCCATTTTCTACTATATAAAATGATTTGAAATCCCTGAAACAACTAAAAAAGAATAATTAAAAATGAATAGCTGAATGATATTAACCAAAATAAACCTGAAATGAAATAATAGTGAAATAAAATACAAGTAAAAATAGAATAATTGAATAAATAAAAATAAAGAAAATAAAATAAAAATAAAAAGTGGAGAGATTCCAAGTCACGTTAGTTCACGACGTTTCGATTGTTAGTATCTACAATCGTCTTCAGGTGATGACTGGACTGATTCCTCCGAGAGATGACTGTTTATAGGTCGTTCGAGTACTTTCACTTATCCCCGCTTTCCATTTTCCGCTTCACTGGTTCCGTGGGAGATGATCGTTTTGGCGGGAGTTGGCCATTTTTCGCTTGATAATGGGTTTCCATATGTTGCGTATTTCTACGCTAGTTTGGCTGAATACGTTGTTGGACAACATGTATGCGGCTTCCTTGAATTTTCTCCTAAACCAATGTTCCTCTCTGTGCAAGATCTCAGCTTGTGACCACTCGATGTTGTGTTGATGGGTCCAAACATGGTCTGCTATTCCTGATTTGCTGGTTTCCCCTCGCTGTGTGTGTTTCTTGTGCTCGGCAATGCGAACATTCAATGGCCTCTTAGTTTCACCAATATAGGATTTTCCGCACACACAGGGTATCCGGTAAATGCAATTCTTGGAATCGCAATCCGCGTTTGGTGGCTTGGTTTTCGTGAGGCTGCTACGGATAGTGTTACCGCATCTGAAGCAGGTTCTGATGTTGTACTTGGAACCAATTCTTCTTATCCTCTCCGATACTCCTCTGATGTAGGGAAGTGCAAGCACTGGTTGTGACGGCTTCTCTTCCTTGCGCGGCTCCTGCTGTCTTCTAGCCAAAGTCTTTTCTACCATCGTTTTGGAGTAGCCATTCCGTTGAAGATCATTTTTGATGATGTCTAGTTCCTTCTCGAGACCTTCCTTCGTATTACAAAGTCCAAAAGCACGGTCTAATAGAGTCATAATAGAGTCATTTTATATAGTAGACAATGGAAGTCCGAACTAGTGAAATTCATCATGAAACATTGTCAATCACCTGCATCAGGCTGCTTTGCAGTGAGAGTTGTGTCTGAGAAACTAGGTCTGCCAATGAGTAAGGTGACATATTTTTCTCTACCACCTGCGATATGATATTGCATTTTGAGGTTATTGCTCACTTTTTGTGTTGTGAAAATGTTTGTATTTGTTGACTTGTGGTATATAGAATACTATTTGTCAAATTCAATTATGTACTGACTTTAGATTATAGAAAGCTTTGTCAATAAGAATATCTTTTCTTGGACAATAAAGTATATTGATTGATTGATTGATTGAAAATGGACACAATATGTCTTGTCTGAGGTGTGTACAGTTTTCTAGTTCAATACAGTGTTACAAGCTTTTGAGAAGCAGCCTTTGCAATTCCAGCGACATAATTTTGATATATTGGGGTCCATTTTAACCCCCAACAAACTTATAGAAGTAGAAAGCGGAATTGTCTGTCCTGTCATTATTATATCCAGTTTGGAAATATTCATCTTTTTGAATTTTTGTTTTTTTTTTTAATAAGTTTTTGATATACAATAAAAAGAGGGTTGGAGACAATATGGATCCCTGTTAAAATTTGGACCGTTAATAAGCAAACTTGAAGAATAAGCTTTGAAGAATTCCAATAACCACATAGTTATAGTTATTCCAAGTTGACTTTGAAAACTGAATTGCTTGGTAGGTTAGTGGAAGGTTAAGCCCAAAGTAAGTGGCCAACTAGGTTGGTGGAACTCGCCTCGAAAAGAGTGTTACAGTTCTGATATTCGGAAACACTACCTGTTTTGGCTTCACACCCATATAAACATTTAATATATTTCTGTTACAGGCAAATGCTATTGTGGAGCATTTGGCCATACCCTTAGGAGGGAATACACCGTCATCGGTCTTGTGGTGAACAAAGCAGCCAGACTGATGGTTGCCTATCCAGATAGAGTAACCTGCGATCGCTCGACGTTCCTGCATAGCAAACTCGAATCTAGGAATTTCATCTTGCAAGAGTACAAAACTTTGAAGGGCATTATCAATCCCGGACCCATATACGAGTTCAAGGGCGTAGAGAAGTGAGTAAAAATTGTCCCAGAATACGCGTGTTCTTTGAATCGTGTTTCAGGAAATGTCCAGGTGTTGCCAACATGCAAACTTATCAATGTTTCAGGTTCCAGGAGACCACACTGTTCTTCAACCCCCTTCCGATATTGGGCAGGGAGCAAGAAATAGATTTGTTCATTACCCTTCTGGAGAGAGCAGAGAGGCTATCAGTTGAGAAGTCCCAAAAACAGTTCAACAATATGTTGATTCTGCAAGGGGTTTACAGGCAGGGCAAATCTAGGTTGTTAGAGGAACTGATATTTGTCACAGACCCAAATATTCCTGTTAACAGATTCGCGGTTAATGCATTTGACTATGAGGTAGTGTATAATAACTTCAATCGTTACAGTATCACGTGTGACAAGGAAAGTCAGGGCACCTAATGAGATTTTTCCTTTCAGAACATGTTGATTTGTGATTTCAATATTGAATTCAGCTCAATGCCTCACGAAACAATAATAACTCATAATTAGGGACTACAACCAACTACAATGTAGGATAGTGGGAGAAAAAGATAATTTACACAACAACACAACAGGAATTTTTGGTGGGAAAAGGTTTTGGCCTTCCACTTCTTCATACTTTGACCAAAAAAGTGTGAAAATTACAAAGAAAAGACAAAAGCAATTACAAGCAATATTGTCAAAAATATTTATCTATTCATCTATCTAGAAGTTACTTTCAGACACAAACTGAACGAAAAAGTTTTCTCTAAACAACTACTTCTATATGAACATCGAATTACACAAAAAACACTTTTTCCTAATCAGTTTGTACTCCAAGCATTCGTTATAGAATTGAATCAGACAGCATTCACAAGATTGCTACACAATATAGTATATAAAAGAGGTTAAATTTCACTTACATGCGACAGTCACCTCACTGGCGGACATCAATGTTTCGAAATAAGATACTTGCCTCTTCAGCACCAGTCTGGATAACGTTACAAGATGAAGCACACAATTCCTTCATAAAGTCGTTATATTTCAAGTTAAATGAAGCCAAAGCCAGAAAACAAATGATTCGCAATCCAATACTATACAGCAATCTTCCGATTACGTCGCACATGTCTCTTTCCCACTCACTAACGCCTCTGAAACCGTTACCAACTCAAATCGTCGACGCGCGACCTTGAAATGTGCCAGAAACAGCCTTGTGCCTCTACTCATCAAAGATCTCATCAGTGGCAATTGGCTGAACCACGCATACATTTTATATAAATATAAATAAAATCAGAACTTTCTTGTTTTTATAATTGTTTCAGATGCCCTATAGGACAATTCAGCTACTTTTCCAAAGGTTCACCGAAATCATTCCTGAAATGCCTGAACATGAAAAACAACAGAAGATAAAAGCTCGTCTCAGGATGAGGCCGGATGTGGAGCCTTTTTTATGCTATCTGAATATTGTTTTCAACGTTAACTTTCCGATAACCGAAGAGTACAAACGACAAGACAAAAAGGGGAAATACAAAATGCTCCGAAACACTTTCAAAATATTTTGCCAGCAAGTAAGAATGCTTCACAGAAAAATCAAAGTTTTTCATAAAATTAAACAATCTTACCCGTTTGCATAACTGCATGTAGTGTATAATTCAATATCCGTCAGGGTACTAGTCAGAGAAAAGTGGTTTTGGGTATTTGCCCAATTCTAGTAAAAAAAATGGATTCACCTATTCATTGTTTGAAAAACATAGTTCAATAATCATGATACATTTCCATTTCAAATATACACCGTACCTGAGATTCTGAAGGCAGGAACGAAAATCCTACATAAAATGATTTGTAGTCCACAGAAAGTTGCTTTTCAGGTTTTCAAAATATTTTGGTTGATTGCCATTGATGACGCTGAGTACATAGACGACGAATCCTGGCTGCTAATCGATATTCTGTTGGATCTAAATCTGGTGTTCATTGTGGTCACTATGGGTACCGAAAAAGAAATATCGGTTCTAGCCATAAACGTGCTGAAGAAGAGTAGGATAAAGTCTATAGAGCTGAAAGGTATAGATAAGTGGTACCACGTTGGATTAGCCTGTCAGATGTTGAATGTCGATGGCATTCCACCGGAATTGGAGAAGTAAGTAAATCTAGTATGCTTCAACGGGAAAAGTATTTATTGAGAGTTTGCCATCTTGAATCAATCTTTATCAATCTTCAGTTGGGGCTTCCAAGGATTTTGAATGGTTATCAATTTCTAACTGGTACAATTATCTATAGATCTGAAATGAATCTCTGAGGCACATTTGAACTATTAACATGATCTTATCATGACCTACAATACATAACCTTGCTACAAAGAATGTCATGATTCGAATTTTTTCATCATTTTCATCGATTGCCAATTGTTTTTCCATGCAGGACTATACAAACAAAGAGTAATGGAAACCCAGGATGGATCGAAAGTTTTCTGGTGAGCTTGATGCAGTCTGGCGGCCTTTTTGTATATGAAATGACAAGACAAAATGCCTACGATACAGGAATAGTCATTCCACCTTTATATATGACAGTAAGGTACAACTCCAATTATTAAATAAAACACAGAGTAACAACACATCATTTCCTAATCAACCACCTATACCTTGCTCATTCCACTATTTTTCAAGAATGTCCAAAGAAGAAATGAAGCTGTGGGTGGAAATCATGGAAGAAAGGAACTTGAGCTCCAAAGAAAACAAGATGACCATCAGATGGAAAATGTTCATCGACAGTTGCAGGGTATTTTTCACCTAATTCTTCTCTGTAGCGAGTTTTTCATTTCACGTCCTTTCAGGAGAGCTATCCTGATCTCACTGTGGCTCAAACGTTCAACGACAAGATAAAAAAGAACCAGTTGATCAATATCTGTACCCTGAACGAAAGTTTCAATCTGGAGGACGTCGATCCCGAGCTAGCCATAGACGTAATCATCTTGAAAACATTCGACGCCTTGACTTCATATGAGCAGTTGCTACTCAAATGTAGTGCTATCCTTGGAGACACTTTTCCGAGAGATATGCTCCTATACATAATGTCTTCTTCGGCTATAAGGCTTACTGCGCTAGGTAATGTATTCAGTGTTATTTCACTGAGAAAATAGAAAAATATTCACCTTCTGCCACATTTCTCGGTGGTCCAGCGTGGTCCAATATCCATCATGGTATTAGCCGGGAAAGTAGTTGTTTTCCGGCAAGCATCAACCAGAACCTACTGTGTAGGTACGTTGGAAGAGATAAATGTTTTGAAATTCCATATCAAAATATTCATTGTCTCAAACGTATGTATCTCATACCTATTTCAGTTTCTGTTAGAGTATTGGTCCTAATTCCGTTATATGCTAAACGTCCACCGTCAGAATACTAAAGCCATGTGGGACCAACTCAAATCCTGGAATGATGGCAATAAGGATAAATCCACATTTCTGATCTCTGACCTTGACACAGAAGATGACTCAGTACCTGGCCAATACAATCACTTTGGAAGCTTCTACCAAAACTCCTTTTCTTCAGCATCTTTTGAGTTCATCCCAATTAGTCCAGATTTGGTAAAACAACTTATTGCCAAGCAGAAGCCCCATACTGAAGAGCCTGACAAAATCTCTGTCAATTGAAATTAGCCTTCTGTCCCTCAAAAATATATACAATTCATCATTTGAAACAGGCTGTCTCCACAGCAGTGGAAGACATCAACTGTCATTGTCCAATCATTTTAGGTCGATTTAGGGCTGTATTTCAGAAAGTTGACATACCCAGCTCTAAATTTGTATAAACTTTGTATGGCATCATAAAAGTATTCTCAAAATTCACATATGATTCGACGGCCGCAACTTCAAAAATTGGGGGTCAAAAGTAAAAAAAAAACGACTTTTTGCATGTTTTTTGCCAATATCTCGTTTCCAATAGGTTTTATGCTAATTGTATTTTCCATCAATATTGTAGAGAATTAAATTCTCTACAACCTTTGTTTCAAACAATTTTTCATACGTCGAATCGTTTTTGAGATAGAGGGCAGCGCGAGCGCAGATTAAATATTATTTGAAATCAACTGGTTGTCTCGATCAAAATCAGCTCATTTGGGGTTTATAAATTATTACTTGATAAATAATTATGGATAATTTTCAGTTTTTATTAACGAATACATTATATTTAATTTTTTTTTCATTAATGAACCGATCTATGAATTCAATAATGCAATTTATTCCTGTATTTCAAAAAGTCATTAAGGAATATACTTTAATTACATTTTACGGTAATTGCATTACGGGCATTGCATTTAAGTTTGATGATTCGATAAAGAATGCGCCAAATGTCAATATTTTTAAATCAAGACTGAAAGCTGCTCTCATAGAAAAAAATTGCTACACCCTTGAGGAATTTTAGGTTAGGTGTTTTTTTTGTCTTCTTTAACGTTCTTGTCACTATTTGACATTACCATTATTTTAAACTTTTCCCCACTTTTATGTGTATACATATATTTGCCATCTTTTTATCTCAATTCTTTTAAAATATTTACATAAATACTTGAGTTTGAACATATGTATATGAAAAACACAGACTCTTACGACGTTTTCCTTGTTATTGTACTGATAGAATTATCCACTGTCATGTACTTTTTAACAAGCGAAATAAATGAATTATGATTACTATTTTTTTCCACCGTAGTGTGCGCTGGTCAGGCCCTATCCCCCGAAGCCCCGATACATTCGGGAGGGCGCGCCAGCATAATCAACCAATGACCATGGCCGTCGAATCATATGTGAATTTTGAGAATACTTTTATGATGCCAAAATACAAAGTTTATACAAATTTACAGCTGGGTATGTCCACTTTCCTAGGCAAATCCCCTAAAATGACTGGCCTATCAAGCCTATACCTAAGAGCCATCAACAAAAGTGAATAGCATCAGTGATCTTCGTCCCATATGACATATGTACTCCTGAAAATTGCCAAAGGAACCTTACTTTCCCAGGTACTTCCCTTACTTTACTTTTATTCTATTGGATATGTCGAAGACTTTTGATGGTGTTAACCTTAACTGCCTAATCACCAAACTCCATTATTATGGGTTTAATGATCGAATTTCAGACTGGCTCAAAGACTATCTCTTCACCCAAATACAATTTGTCAGTGTAGAAGACCACCTAACAGTTGTCACTTTGGAATCGAATGGTCAATAATGGCGTACCTCAGGGTTCCTTAGGGTACTACTTATATAGGGTCTTCCAACAGGGTTTCCAAACTTTTTAACGTTCCAACCGTATTGTTTAAAAAAATCGCAGAAATGTTAAGAAGCCAGTGTTTTATCAAAATCACCATTGAAATATTTTGTTTATCTTCTACAGCTGTGCAAAAACTCTTCGAGATCAATGTTTTGAGTTGCGCAAAAGGAAATTTCATAGAAGGGGGTTTGAGTTTCAAGGAGAGATTGGTCAATCCAAACGAAGACATGTCCGTCAAATGTGACTGTAAAGGATTGATCATTGATGGTGAGTCAAAAATGGTTTGTTGATGATACAATTTTAGCAAACTCTTGGGAAGGGCCTCAAGTCAGATCCTTGGGGAATACATACACACAGTGCATGAGAGTAGCAAACTCGGCAACGTACTGTTGGGAATAGATACATTCTATCGATCAAGTCGGGTTCATTTGCAAAAAAAACGAAGTTCATGAAACTTAGTGTTTAGTAAAACAGAGACCAATTAACAACAGCAACAACAAAACTAAATGAATCAAATTGACACAATAATGTTTTCCCTTGAGCTGTAGAATTAATATAACTGAGGAAGAGAAGTGGTCCCAGATTCAATCGTTATGGATATCGATATGAAATGTTTCTTCTTGATGTTTCAGAAACGTGTACAGACTTGCCGAAATATGCGTCTTGCGGCTACATGCGTTTTCGTTCATCTGAATTCAGAGAAACAACGTACAATCTCCTGACAGACAACCAGAAGAGAGAATTCCATGAGAGAGCCATTAGGTACTTAGAGAAAGAGACTAGAAGGTGCAGAGCTTGTGGTAACGGGTACTTTGTGAGACAGGTAAGATATCATGTTTATGGAATATAGTCTAAAACTAGTACTAGAAGAATAAAAATAAAGTATTTTTAACACGATTTTTTTCAACCAAGTAGCCATAAACAAAGCATAATTATTCAATTTTCAAGGAAGTTTTATTATGAACAATAGATATGGATACAAATGTATTATATACATCAATTACATTATCATTTATGAATATTATTGTGAAAAGTACAATTAGAACAACTGCTGATATTAATACCTTGCGATGTTGAAGAGCCTTGTAGTAAATTGGAACTAGCTGAGTTGACAATTTCATGGCCATTAACATTTTATTATTGAAGAGGACGATGTTGTGACGCTGGAGCTAGCTTTTGGAATTATTCTTTCAGCAATTGCCTCTTTATAGGAAATAAATTGATCGATGTTATCTTCAGCTACTGCTGTAGACCTCCACATCCGTGCCACAGCATACCCATATGCTGTGTCCGTGCTTTTAATATCCGTTATATTTGCTCCTGATTCTGCTAGCAAAGAAGCAGAAGACCTTCTGAAACAGTGACCTGTAAATTCCTTCGGTTACGGGAGGTTCAGAAACTAAGCAATTTTAAAGGGCATTTTCCCAAACGTGTTTATACCAACTGGGTTGGCACTGCATTTATAATTTGAGTATTTCAGAAAAAAACTTTGATGATTTATAACAGAAGGCCGTAATGCAATGTATTTATTAATAAAGTCAATGTTTTTCCAACAATGCAATAAGAACGACCCATTTTCTTTTTTGTATTTGGAAATTGCACAACTCGCTACGCTCGTTTTACACATTTTTTCACCCACAAAATAAAACTTTACTTTTAACACTCATATCATAAATAGCTATTATATCCATCTAACAAAAAAAAATCCAATAAAAATGTTTATTGCTATCGTGTTATTTGTTATATTGTACCTACATATTATGACATATACAATGTCACCATTAAAGTGCGCACCATATGGGAAACTTTTTTTTCGAAAAGTTTCAATGAAGTTTAACTTCGGCACTTGTTTGTGCTTTAAATTTAACTTAAAATGATGCGGCCACCTGCGACCCACTGACGTTCAGTGTTTGTCAAATTCAACTTTTTTTAATTGAAAAAGTGCATTTCTAGATCGAATTTAACAAAAAGTTACTTGAAAAAGTTGTGTCTATCCATATGCCAAATTTTATGCAACTGGGATAAAGTTAACGTTTTGCTTATTTTTGACAGATATCCCCTTTATTTTGAAAAACAAGTTCGGTTAATTGTCATCAATTCATGCATACATAACAAACTCATCATGGAGTTTAACTTTTCTGATACATTTTCACTTATACGGACATTTCTAGAGAGAAATTAAAAATGTGCTATAAAAATTTTAACATGACTGGTGCAAAGTTTCAATCACTTGGCTATTTTTTTGAACAAACGTCAGTACCTTCAATTTTGAAAAAGCAGACACAACTGAAAAGCTGCAATAAGTATTAATAAAATTACTAGAGTTGAAATTACATTAATATTTCAATATTCTGTATTTACAGATTATTTATAAACACTAACTAGGGCGGTAAGGAAGCTTAACCACGTTGAATAAAATTTTTAAGTAGGTCTTGACAAACAAAATGCAAGCTATGGTAGTGTCAAGTTGTTGATTTACTTGTCAAATTTTCAACAGTTATTGTTTCAATAATGTTTGTCTCTTCAGGAAAGAATAGAAATAGTTTTAATTTGTGGTGAGAATACACCATACAGAAAAAAATGTTCAACATACTACTGTGTCAAGGATAATGTCAAAATTCAGAGAAACAGGATCCGTAGCAAATAATTTTAAGAAAAAGCACACTCCAAGTAAAATATGATGAGGAGGCCCAACTTAACATTTGTTTGAAAGTTATTGAACACGGGCAAACGAGCATAACCGATATTATAAAAAATACCGATTACAAGAAAGAAAGTGTTAGAAAAATTTTATTGAAGAATAAATTTTGGCCTTACAAGCCAAAATTTATTAACACATTGAAAGGACGAGATTTTGATGTCCGTTTGGGGTTTTCATTCTGGTTTCAAGGAGAGAGAGAAGAAAATGTAAAGTTTTCTTATAAAATTGTATGGACAGATGAGGCAACGTTCTCTTCAAATGGGATGGTAAGTTCTCAAAATTGCCGATGGTGGGCTCAAGAAAATCCCAATTTCACAGTTGAATGTGGTGATCAGTATTTCTTTAAAACTAATGTATGGTGTGGGATACTTAACAACCAAATAATTAGGCCATTTTTCTTTAGGGAAAATTTATCATCCGTCGGTTATTTCAACCTCTTAAATAATGGAGTTAGTGAAGTTTTAGATAATATGCCTTTAAATATTAAATACGACCTATGGTATCAGCTTGATGGTGCACCAATACATCACACGGTTGCTGTGAAACAGTCCCTCCAACAAATGTTCAGAGGCAAAGTTATTGGACGTAACTGGGAACATTATTGGCCACCTAGATCACCCGACTTGACGCCTTTAGACTTTTTCTTGTGGGGTTACCTGAAACAAAAGGTGTACCGAAGTAGACCATTTACTGACATACAACATCTGGAAAATACCATTCGCGAGTGCTGTGCAAATATAAATCCCCGATTTATTAATAATGCAGTTACAGATGTAAGTAGAAGGGCCATAATTTGTATTGAACGTGGAGGACGCCATACTGAAATGTAGGCTATAAGTGTTTGACAACCTCATTTAGATCAATAAGTAATTTTTTGTACCCATTTGTATTTTTTATAATATTATTGTTGTTTGAAATTTATGATAATAATAGTTCTATCGAAATTATTTGCATTTTTTTTAGTTGCCTCTGCTTTTTCGAAATCAAAGGTTTGTTTAAGAAAATAGCTAAGTGATTGAAACTTTGCACCAGTCATGTTAAAATTTTTATAGCACATTTTTAATTTCTCTCTAGAAATGTCCGTATAAGTGAAAATGTATCAGAAAAGTTAAACTTCATGATGAGTTTGTTATGTATACATGAATTAATGACAATTAACCGAACTTGTTTTTTAAAATAAAGGGGATATCTGTCAAAAATAAGCAAAACGTTAACTTTGTCCTAGTTGCATAAAATTTGGCATGTGGATAGACACAACTTTTTCAAGTAACTTTTTGTTAAATTCGATATAGAAATACACTTTTTCTATTTTTTTCAAAAAAAAGGTGAATTTGACAAACGCTGAACGTCAGTAGGTCGCAGTTGGCCGCATCTTCTCAAGTTAAATTCAAAGCACAAACAAGTGCCGAAGTTAAATTTCATTGAAACTTTTCGAAAAAAAAGTTTCCCATATGGTGTGCATTTTAATGGTGACACTGTATGTTATGACATGTATTTTATTTGGGGATATTGAAATTATCATTATTTTGTGGTTGTGAGAAATTGACTAGGAGGTCACTGACATTATTATTATTATCATTTTCACTTCACCCAGATGGGAGGCGGTCGTCTAGACAACACCCTCAGGATCCTCAGGAGAAAAGATAAGAAAAAATCGGTTTCCACAGAAACTTCAAGCATCGCAGAAAACTTCGGAGCCAACAAGTTGCTCCAAAGAGCTTCATTCGTCAGCTTCGAGAGCTATCAATCCGGAAAGTCCAGAGAATACTCACGTGGAACGAATACGTTGTCTCTCTATTCGAGCGGATCTGGAGCCGATTCAATGAGCTTGCCTGACTCACGTAAGTTATATAAAGAAAATACGTTTTCCTCCTTTCCATATAGAAAGTATAGGCATACTTTCCTTCCTCACATCAGGGATGAAACTCATACTTCTTCCTTACGAAGTACTCAACTCCCCCACATCTCAAATAAGTTTTGGAAGATGAAACTTGCGAATCAATCATATACAAATTGTGATTTCTAGAACAACTTGTATATACTGTATTCTGGTAAAAATCAAACATAAATGTTACTTCAACGTCACTCCTTTAAATAAAAAAGTGTCTATGTGGTATCTGTAGAGTAGGGAGGGTGAGTGTAGATTCACAGCACTTAGACCACATGTGACCCATTGTACATCCTCCCAAGGAGTTGTCCTCCTAGGTCATCGTCCATCCTGTCCTTCCCAGGAAGTTGAATAGGTCTCTGGGAGACATCTCCTTTGTATCGGCAGGTGTAGGCCAAGACTCGCCGAACACACACTCTCTTTGGCAACCTTGAGGTGTCTCACAGTGGCCTCCGCGAAGGTTTTGGAAGGTGCAGCGACATTACTGTCGTTGCGCGGCTTCTTCAACCTTCTTGGGGTTCCCTCCGTGGAGGTGCACAAGTGAGGGAGCTTTTCTGCACGAACAGCCGGTTCCTTGACTTTATTCAAGGCGGAGCTCTTGGCGCCCGCCGCAGGAAGTGCCCTTGCTGTTGAAGGTGATCTGCTATGTCCAGCCTCACTCCTATCAGTAGATTGGGGTGGACATTTCTGTTCATCCCCAGCCACCGCCTTATATTGAGGTGAGCACTTCTGTCTAGCTTCGGGATTGGTATTTGTTTTTGTTGTTTCTGATGTTTCATTCATGTGTGTTCCCACGAGTAAAAAGGGAAAAGTTGGTCACCTCTGGCAGAGCCCCGCATTACCAGAAGTTTACAGAGATTACAATGAGCTTTCGCCCAGTTCTCCAAAGGGATCGTTCATGTCCGCATATCACCCTGCGGCCTTTCAGCTGTCGGCACGATTCCTCACACCTTAGCTTGGGTACACCGGTCCACGGTGGCATGTTTTGCAAAGGCATTTGGAGGGTTTCAGTTCCCTCACCCTACTTATTTCTGCCACTGACTAAGAGTCCGGTAACCCCGTCCGTAAGGCCACATTGTCTTCCCGGATAGGGCCTCCAGTCCCCTGGCCGTTCGCCTATCCGCCACCTGGAGATGCGTCCGATAGGTAGCCCAACCCACGGGTGTCTATGTGGTAAAAAAGATTTCAAACCGTAGAAACTTCACATTCAACAAGATCAAATTGTCATCAATTGCCAAATTTGGACATCGACTCACCTATGTATAGCTATCTCTCTTTCATGTTTCTGTAATTGAACTATTTCGTCTATTGGCGGAACTAGGAGAGTCTAGGGTGGGTTAAGCCCCCCAGAGCAACTGTTAGGACTCCCTAGAAGCTATAACGAAATATAACAAATTCTTACTTTAATTAAATCTGTTTCTTACTCTTTTCATGTTCGATAGTACCATTAAATAAAAAAATCCTACGTCGTAATTGAAAATTCCATTGATAAATACATTGACAGGATGTTATTATATTATATTATATTATTCCCTACTGGGAATTTTTTTATGGTTCATTCATGAGTTGCTGCTATTTCAACAAATTTTTCGTTGGTTTTTGGACAGCCCTTGAATGATTATTTGACAAAAATGATATCGAAAATGCGATTTGGGACCATCAGAAAATCAAAACAATTTATTTCCCCTCACAGCTCACCAAGGGGTATTCTATTCTCTCTCGACTACTGGGGGCTGTAGCCCCTCCCCTTGACTTCAATCCTAGTTACGCCAATGGTTTCGTTTTTTCACTCGTAGGAGAAACGGGTGTTACATAAAATTATTGTTCAATTGAGTTAGGTAGTATGATGATTGTTGACCCAAGTGTACTTCAAGTTACTTTTCTATTCTAGATCACTACTTTTCCATGTCTAACGATATCGGATTTACAACGATACGAAAGCTCAAAGACAATTACAACCTCATAAGAACATTTTCTACTACCGACTACACTCAATGTACTTGTCCACTGGTTTTGAATACTATGTATTCACAGCTAATCGAGCACTGTAAGGGAGCTGGTAAGTATGATTTCCAAAATGGCAGTTTTATTTTGCGAAGATTTTGTAGCATAAATGTAATAGTATTTCAAAGGTCTCTGAGAATGAGTGCAACAAATGAATTTTCATTGACTGATTTTTGGTATATAGGTTAGGTTAGGTCCAAAGTGAGTGGGTCTATTCGACCCTCCACCGCAACCCGCAAGGATTTATTGAGGCTCATACCTATTCACACTCGGCCAAAGAAACCGAGCTTCTTAACGAAGCCGATTAGTTTGTATGATGAGTGGTCTTTCAGGTCAGATGGTAAGACTACAGCTCTGCCGAACTCTAAAAACCTGATTCGGTCCCCAGCGGGGCAGGCACAAAGTATATGCTCTGCTGTTTCATCATTTTCCAAACGGAGGCGACACACACTGTATTCCTACAGTCTAAGTCTCTGCATATGCTGATTCAAGTGACAGTGACTTGTAAGAAGGCCTGTTAGAAGTTCATGAATCTTCTTGCCATCCAGGTGTTCAATGTTTGTTTGGCAAAGCCAAAAGCGATGCCAATGACAGGTTCTGGTCCGATGAAGCTGCTTGCAGCACCTTTTTTTGCAATGGAGTCTGCAACTTCGTTTTTGGCAATTTGCTACCAATTCAGACGTTGCTCGGTAGATATATAACTTTCATTTTTTGTCAAAAGACTTACATCATTTGACCAGTTATTTACCAAAATAGGCAAACCAAATGGCAGTTATTTATGAAAATATTCGATAGCCTAAATGTGATACCTTTTACCTCTGGGAATATGTACAACAAATGGTTTTTCATAAACTGAAATAAGCATTCCAAAGGGCAAAATAGGCAAACCAAGTAGCAGTTCTGTTATGAAAATATTTAATAGTATAAATGTAATATCTTCTACCTTTGAAAATATGTACAACAAATGAGTTTCCATCGACTGATTCTTTGACATCTATCAAAAGAGGTACATCAATTGAACAGTTATTTACCAAAATAGACGAAACAAATGGTAAAATAGGCGAGCCAAATAGCAAAATGGGCAAACCAAATGACAGTTTTGTTATGAAAATGTTCAATGGCATAAATGTAACACCTTGTACCTCTGACAATAGTTGCAACAAATATATTTTCATCGACTGATGTTTGATATATATCAAAAGAGTTACATCAATTGACCAGTTATTTACCAAATTGGGTGTGCCAAATGGTAAAATAGGCAAACCAAATGTTAAAATAAGCAAAACAAATTGGCAAAATAGGCTAATCAAATGAAAGCTTTGTTATGGAAATAGCATAGGCACCTCTGAAGATAGATGCAACAAATGATGATTGTATCTCTCAAAAACATTACATCAATCGATGGTACTTACCAAAATGGGCAAATCAGATATCTGCCAAAAGAAGCATACCAATTGAATTGATGACTAATGATTCACAGATAGAACTGAAGAAACTTTCAATGGATAGTAAATGATTTCTGAGAAATCTGCCAAAAAAGCTATATCAAATGTATCATTAGTGCCTAATGATCGATTCAATTTCGAATGTATATTTATTACTGTTACAGGTCTCGTTGAGAAAATCATGAACGCCACCATTGAATATTCGTACGTGTGTATTGAAAATAGAAATATCCCACAAACTATAAAGGTCTTGGAAGAAGCGCTGCAACTTCTTGATGTGAGAGATTACACAAAAAATATTTCACCTTATTCTTATTTCATTACTATCTATATTTGATTCATATTTCACTCGGAAATAAATCTGAAATTCATAATTATTTTCAATATCATTTATTGCAGTTTGAATCTACCGCTACTCTTTTACTAGAGTATGTATACTAACCTGTCTATTCATTTACTTTTTTTTCAGTTACTTTCAAATTACGGCATGCAAGCCAACGCAACATTTTAATGTTACAACATTGTTATCCTTTAAAGTTGCAAATGTTAGTTTTGCTCCAGGAACATCTTTTTCTGTTAAAAACATTGTTTTTTAATTGTACTTTACCATATGTTTTTATGAGGATTAGGCAGAGTTTGCCCCTACCGAACTACTAGCGCTGCTAGTGAGTGATTTTTCGTACTTCAGGAAAAAGTTCATTGTAGGTATCTCATTGTTTTTGTGTTTTTGTAACAGTTGTATATTGTTCGTTTCAATGATTTTATTAGATGAACATCTGAAGTATTTGGTAATCCCATATCACATCTCGTCTTGCGTTCATTAGGTTTGTTTTTGACTATTTTACGTACAGTTAAGAAAGGAATTTGTTTCCCTCGAAACCAAACTTGAGATGTACATTCATATATACATTGAAACATACTCTCTGTGTTTCAATATTCAAATGCATCCGAATATTATTCACTGGTATCTCTTTTTCGCATTGTTCACCATCGCTATTATAATCACTACACAGAAAAAAGTATGCGTTGTTATCACACTCGTTATTACTATTAGTACTTGTCCAAGGACGCCATACTTTGAACAGATAACAAAAATTTCAAGTAATTATAACTGCACCAATATCGAATTTCAACACTCAAATAGCGATCATTTCCTGATCTGAACATTAAAAACACTACTCTTATAAATATTCTATTCGTCACCGTAACATGACTACAAATTTAATTTTATGACTCTTCAGCCAATTATAAAACTCGGTTAGTAAAACTCATCCAATACGAACCGCCAAGTCTACAGTCCACGTGGACTAGTTGGCAGCGGCTTTATTTCTCTGTATTGTTTTTTTTTTGACCTTGAGATCGCCGACAGCTTTAACTATGCACTATACCAGTTACTTCGACTATACCAACATGAAAAAATATTCGAAACCCTGTTATATGATGGATTCTTTCCACAAAAATATTACATAATTATTTTTAGTGAGTTTGTTCTGTTTTTCATCCGAGAGGTTCCATTTTCTGAATACAGTATTTCGCAGGGACCGATGAAAGAGCAGGTGGAGCTCGACTGGATGATAGAACTGAAGAGGGGCAAGCTTTTCACGTTGCTGGGGAGTGCTCATATGGAAATGAACGATGACGAAACCTACACGTACCTGATGAAGGCGCTCAAATGCTACGGCGTTAACTTTCCGACGACGCGCTTCTTCAAGGCACTCAAGAAAGCTCAAATGAAACTGAAGCACATGCTACGATTCTTCATGACGAGAAGCGTATTTTCGAGGAGGACCGACGACGACGTATCCGAGTACTGCAACAACGTTTCGGAATGTTTGGCGTTCCTCTGCAAGTTTTTCATAGTGAGTAGTCTTTAGAAAAAAACATCTGTTGGGGATATATTCCTATTGTTATCATGAAAAAACTATAAAAACTTTTATTCTAATTGTGAAAAGTCGTTTTTGGTTATTGATGCTGAGGTACTCTACAATCCAATTCATTCACGCAGCAAGACGGAGAACAACTACTTTACGCTCGAAAAATGAGTGAAATTGGCGATTTTCATTCTTGTCAAGTAGAAAATATTGAACAAAATTCATTTTTTGTGAAGAAAATTAAAGTTCTCCCCTAATTTTTCTGGGGATTTTCACCTTTTACCATCTTAAAAATATGTGAATCGTCACAGGACGCCTGGCAGATGTGAAACATCAGTTTTGTGACCTCTGTGATGATTGTTGGGTACTGAAATATTCATAAAAAATATGAAATTGAAATATCCGTAAAAAAAATTTAATGTGGCTCTAGTATACTAGCAAACTCAAGAATTTTAGCAAGGATCAGTACTTGGATCTGTTTTGTTTCTTATATATTTCAATTCTTTGGCAACAATTAATTTATTTTGTAAATTAAAATGTTTGCTGATGACACCACTTTAATTAACAATGGAAACAGTGTACAATAAATCAAAATTAATATTTCAAAAGACCCCTACCGATCCATCGATTTGGGTAGACTGTATTAAGGAATTCCCTGGCTACAACGCTAAAAAGGGGCGGAGCCCTATCATGCATAAACCACATGTGGATTCGAATTTCTAATGGTACATTCTGAAGTAGTCCCGGTAATTCATTTTCTAAAAAGTGTCTGTAAGTTGCGCCATTCAGTCGGAGCGAAAGAAAGAAAGGGCCTATCAAGTAATTATCAATTATTGCCGCCCATACATTTACAGAAAATTGATACTGATAATGCCTTTCACTAACAGCGTGCGGATTTTCGAGAGCCCAAACATGGTTGTTATGAAAGTTTGTGATAGCATTTCGGGAAAAGTTTGCCCCGTCCGTGTAGAGTACATATCTTAAATATTGAGGATTTCCAGCCAATTTTCTCAAAAACCATTGACACATAGTAATGCGTTGGGGAAAGTCTCGTGGCAAAAGAGCTTGTACCCTTCGAATATGGTATGGATAAAACTGTTGATCGTGGATAATTCTCCAAACTGTGGATGAGTAGAATTGACAGCTTCAGCAATTACTCTTGTGCTTGTTTCTGGATTCTCCTCGAGAGCGTTCAAAACAGCTTCTTCCAATTCTGGGGTTCGGACTGCTCGTGGTCTTCCAATAATATCAGCTGCCCTCTTAAAGCTACCTGTTTCTGCCAAACGACACGATGAAGACTAGCAAATGTTGGAGCTGAAGGCAGTACTCGATTAGGAAATCGCTCCTGGTAAATACGTCTTGCTTCGCGCGCATTGCCATCCGCAAGGTCATAAACGAAATGCATATCGGCTAAATGAGCATTATTGTTTAAATAATCCATTTTTTCAAAATAAGTGTTTTCTACTTCTACTTATGGAAACTTCAACAAAACGTCTAACTGTCACAAAATATGTAATTACCAAAACTACTCACAAACGTCAAATTTATTTCCAAAGCATTCTTGTGAAAAATGCAAAATATTCGTAATAACTTCAACATGCATCGATTATCAAATAATCGACTTAAAGTTTTCAAGTCCAAATATTCAGAAAACGGTTGCTTATAGCGACTAGTAACAAGAGTAGCTTATTTACGTAGATATGATAGAGGAATAGATTTTTTTATTGAAAAATGTTCTAGAAGTACGTTCAAAAAAGTTATGAATCTTTAAAAAAGAAAAAGATGTGTAGGTGGCGCCCCCTACGAGTAAGAGCAGGTTCGAATTCGATACCTCAAAAACCTCCTATTACCAAGTTTCGATTAATTAAGTTCAGTATTTCAAAAGTTATTTGAAAAAAACGAAAATAAAAATAAAACTTCAACATTCTGTATCTTGGAAACGAAGCGTTTCCGGACATTTATTTATTTGGACAATTCATATTAGAATATTGTGAGGAATCACCTCCTGAAGTTTGTCAAAGTTTGTCATATAAAAACGGTCTAGATCAATTGATCCAAAAGATCAAATTAAATTCAATAATGAAAATATTAAATACTCTCCTATTGCTGAATTTCTTGGTTTTATTCTAGATAAAAATGTATCATGGAGACAAGACAAAAATATCTCCCATAATTGGAATTTTATTCAAAATAAATTCTGTACCCCTGAAATACCTTAAATTGTTTTATTTTTCATTAGTATATTCCAAAATGCAATATCTTGATATGAGTATGGGGACTGCCAACAAATTTCTTATTGAAACCAATTAAAAAACTTCAGAACACAATTATAAGGTGAATATTCAAGTTGAACAAAAAGGAGCCTACAGTCAACTTGTATAAATCAAAAAAACTAATAGATTTGTCATCCTTACATAAATTCAAATTATGTACCTCATTTTTTTGGCCAAAAATAAGCTCAAACATTCATATATAAAGGTATAAAATTTTACAATGAGCTACCGAATGCTTTGCAAAAATTTAATAAAAAAAAATTCCGGATCAATTAGGAAAAATATTTATTGTTTGTATAGATATATTATTTGATGAGTGCATGTATGTTCATGTTGATAATCATATTCAACATATATGTGTGTATATATGTGAATATATGTATGGGTATGTATATTTACATTTTCTTCAAGTTTTAGTTTTGATTCATCTTTTTGTCTTGCTCATTTTTCATTATTTTCAAAAATTATTCATTTAATAAAACACAGGTGATGTATACTATAGTAAACACAACTGTATACACAATCGGTAACCCCGAATCAGTGGGAAAAGAATCGCACAGTTGCTTGCGCATGGCGACCCGTCGCCACGGCATGCTCCGTCACGTTTTTACATATGGTTATGGATGTTACACATCAAAAGTAATAATTGTAATAGAATACAGGTGTAGGAAGGATAAACTTTTCAGTTCGATCCGTGAAGTCACTGCGTAAATTCAAAGTAATTTCCACAAAGAATTTTTTTATAACGAGTGGTACTACTTTGAAACCAGTCTTCAAATGATCATTCGATTGATTTCAGCGAGGATCCGGCTGCTGGAGGAACGATAAGCATAGGCAAGAGTTCCTCTGGGAGGAGGTATTACTCTAGGACGTAGTTGTTTTCTGTTGGACGTTTGCCGGATCCTACTGGATGGGAATGAGGAAAAAGATGGATATTGCCCATTTTATTGTAGAATATTCATCTCCTCAATTCTGAGCAATACCTATCATGATATATACAAAATTATTGTTCATGTCAGTTTTAGAAATCATAACCATCCATCATTACTGTCTTCTGTATCTGTAGAGTAGGGAGGGCGAGTGAAGACCCACAGTACTTGCCACATGTGACCCATTGTACATCCTCCCAAGGAAAAAAAACGAATTAATACAGTTCATTGTATGATTTTCACTATAAAGGGTTTCACAAAAACCACGACACGTGTTTCGCTATACAATAGTTCCTCAAGCATAAACTCCAAAGGAGTTGTTCTTCTAGGTCATCGTCCATCCTGTCCTTTCCAGGAAGGTGGACAGGTCTCTGGGAGACATACCCTTTATATCGGCAGGTGTAGGCCAAGATTCGCCGAACACACACTCTCTTATTGACGATAACTCCGGACATTCGCATAGGACATGCCTGACAGTTTCATCTTCTTGTTCACACATCCTGCATAGAGGTGTGTCCACTAGCCCCATATTGTGAAGGTGTTTTCTTAGTTGACAGTGGCCAGTCAGAAATCCTACTGTTAAGCGTAGATTATTTCTGGTCATTGCCAGATATTTCTTCTGCGCCAGCTTCCTAGAGTCGCCAAGGCTGATCCTGGCAAGATTACATCCTTTGATTTCATCCCAACTCTTTAAGGATTGATCATGGCTGTGACGTTTGGTTAGTTCCGCAATTGTCGCAGTCATCACGTAGTAGGTGCTACTGGGTCCTAAAATTCTTATTCCAGCCGCTTCCTTGGCTAAAGAGTCGGTAATGCGATTATCTTTACTCCTGTCGTGCCCTTAAATCCACCTCAGGATAATGTTATTATCTACCGGGGCTTTACTGTCGCTGTCTTATTAGACTAGATAATAAACTTCATCCTGTGTATACTTCGCTCATCTGTTGTGTGTTTCAGATCAAACACCGCTGGAAGGAAGCAGAATTGGCTGCCATGTGGAGCCTCAGCAAGGCCATCGAAACTGAGACAGATTTCGAAAAAATATGCATGGCCTACGGAAATTTGATCTTCATCACTTCAAATCTCGGTCACAATAGAATGTGCATCGCTCTGGAGGTATTTGCGTTGAGAACATGCCACAAGAAGAAAACGTATGTCGAACTAGAAGAGCTCAAAGCTGTCTCATTCTTGTACTTCACAATCAGTCGTGGAAGGTAAAAACTTTCACAGAAAAATTGAGTCGAAGTGAAAGGATCATATCACACCCCATTTGGTTTCTCTTTTGAAGGTTGAGAAGAGCTGAAATTGAAAAATTTTTGCACATCGGTTACGTGGTTTGGCGACTTTCGACTTCTTCACAAAATGAGATGCTTGCCTTCAGAATGTTGCCTCTCTTGGCACACGTGGTGCTTTTGAGAAGGCAGTTGCTAGAATATAACAACATGCTTCAGGAGATCCAGTATTTGTTCGTTAACGATACGGATAACTCGCGTAAGTTCAATTCCAAAGTAGGATTGTTTTCAACTTTTTCACCAACCTTGAATTGAGAGTTTCATCAGACATACCAAATTGGTTCTGATCTTGAGATTATGAAAAACTGAATCGTTCTCAAGGACTTTCTTCTCATTTCAATCAAATATTGTTTGCAGAAATGGCATGGTACTACGCCTTATGTATGGTAGTGTGTTTAGAAACAGGACTCATAGTAGAACCATATTCAAAATGCGTTAAGTTCATGCAAGGCGAGGGTTTGGAACCAACTATCAGAGACCCAGACGGGAAAATGCGACTAATCATCTGTATTTGGTTATGGTAATTATTTGATAAGACTTATGTTAATGACTTGTTCCGTAGTTTTCATTAGGGTTGCAATTTTCAATTGAATAATTTTCGCTTCTTCTAAAGCTGGTAAGTGAACTTTTATGAGATGAAATATTCTAAAAGTGTTTAGAGTAGAAGAATGACTCGTTTTCAAAATATTTTTGCCATTTTCACTGAAAAATATCAGAAAATGATTCGATCACAACAAATTCATTGAAACGATGAATAACTCAGTTTCTGGAAAAACAATGGAGATCAACCATAATGATAACTAGTCAAAATATGAAGTGGAACGAAATCAATTCAAACTGTATTTCAATCCGAATAGTATCAAAGCAATTAATAATGACATTTCTGAAAAAGTAATGAAATATCAAGAAATTCAACGATGTTTTTCAAGTGTATTTTACGGACGATAAAATAATTGTTCACTTCAACAACTTCATGAACATATCTATAGTTAATATACAGGGTGTCCCTGGACTTCCTCTTTTCCTCTCGGGAATGTATAGATGGGGTCAAAATATCACCAGTACTTCATATAACTTTTTTTCCTAAAAGTCTTCGTAACCACGTTACGGGCCCTCGAAGTTACAAAATGAAAAATGTTTTTCTTTGATAACTTTTCAAGTGAATATTCAAAATCATCCAAATTTTGGTAATTGACTAAACAAATGAATTCC